GAAATGATAAGATAGGTAATTATATATAGACCAGTGGGGGGGCAGGAAATCACTCACTGGGAATTGTGAATTTCTGTCTATAGTGATGGGAAAATTGGCATCAACTAAGGATAATGGGAAGCCCTGGTGATGCAGTGATTAAGTGTTCAGCTGCTAAGGAAAAGATTGGTGGTTCAGATCCACAGGAGAAAGATCTGACAGTCTGCTTCCATAAAGATTACAGCCTTGGAAACCCTATGGGGCAGCTCTACTCTGTCCTGTGGGGTTGCTGTTGGTTAGAATCAACTCGACAGCAATGGGAATGGGAAGAGTAATGGTTACACATCCAGACTAATTACCATTAAGCTGTATACTAGGGGGAAAAAAGGTTGAAATGGTAAATAAGTTCTTTGATACAATTTTACAACTACAACAGCAGTCCAAAAAAAAAGCTGTACCTGTTGATACTACTTGGGTACAACTAATAGTTCACTGATTAGTTTTCTTAGTTTGAAGGTTTAGGGTTGTGGTTTCATGGGTCTATCCAGTCAATTGGCCTAAGGTTGTTTTTAGAGTTTCTGTTCTATCTCCTAGTTTGATGAGTAGTTCCTGGGGTCTTAAAACCTTGTGAGAGGCCACCCAAGATACAACAATTGGTCTCTATTCATCTGGAACAGCAATGGAAGAAGGAGACCCAGGAATCAGAGAAGGAAATGGACTGCAGGTTTAATTGCCTCCATAAACTACTGCCTCCATTACCATGAGATCAGAAGAAATGGATGGTGTCCAGCTACCAATACTAAACATTTTGATCAAGGACACAACAGATGAATCCTGATCAAACGGAGATAAAGCATGGAACAGAACTTCAAACTTGTATGGAAATCAGACTTACTGGATACATTGAGAGTGGGGGAACCCCCAAATCTAATGCCCAGAAATAATCTTAAAACTTTAAACCAAAACTATCCCATGAAGTCACTGTTAAACTAACTAAACAAAGCTTAGCCCAATTAATGAGAAATGTTTGCCTTGAGCATAGTGCTCTTATGAAGAATTATCTATATGAGCATAATCTGACAACAACCCAAGCCCAAACCCACTGCTGTCAAGTCGATTTCGACTCACAGTGACCCTATAGGGCAGAGTAGAACTGCCCGATAGGGTTTCCAAGGCTATAATCTTTACGAAAGCAGGCTGCCACATTTTTCTCCTGTGTAGGAGCTGGGTGGTTTGAAGCACTGACCCTTTGGTTACCAACCAAGCACTCAAACACTGCACCTCCAGGGCTCCTTAATCTGACAACAGTTACTTTATCTTTACGTAAATAATGCATGTGTTATAGGTTTCTTTGCCAATCTTGCTTCCCTCCCTCTGTGAGAGATTTTCTTAAGTACGCTATGCTGATTTTTTAATATATGTAAATAAAATATCTCATGCAGGGGCACAGTTGGCAAAAAATGTATAACATGCGCATTATTTATGTAAAATACGGTAAGCTAAAGCACAGATAAGAACTTTATGTAGCAGAGAGCCTAAACTGATGATGAAATAATATGGGTAGAGACAGCAAGAATGGTGACACAATGTGATGTACGTAACCAATTTTATTGAACTGTTCATGTAGAAATTGTGAATGGATGTATGTTTGGTTGTGCATATTGCCACCAAAAATAAATAAAATATTAAAATAAACAAACAACAAGAATAATATACCTTACAAAACTGGGGATGGGGGAGCAGTGGCAGCATAAGTAGTACTAGTAGTACTAGTACAAGTAGTAGTAGCCACCGTAGTATAAACCCTATCCCTGGCCCTAACCCTGTTATACAACAACTACTATTACTATTACCACCAGCACTATCAACATTAAAGTTTACATTTAGGATTACAGTAACGATTCTGGTCAAATTGTGGTGGGAATTAGAAATATACATCCGTAGAAGATTCTTTCCAGAATTCAAATGGAGGGAAAAGCAAGTTTTAAATCTATAGCCAAAGTATATTGTATTTTTCCTTCCATATTTCAAACTTTCAGTGGGTCCTAGGTCTGCTGTTGGCTTTTGCTTTCTGATCCTAAAATTTTGTATCAACAAAAGGAAGGTAGAGACTATATAGAAAGCCAGATTAAACAATGGCTCTGGGATTCATCTTTCCTTTAAGACATCTACTTAAAAAGTGTAGGTTTTTTTTGCTCAAGAATACACAGGGATGGTGGTAAAACAAATAAACAAACAAAAACCCATACAGACAAGTTGAAGGGTGTTAAGTGCTATGCTGACAGCCAGGTACATGACAGTAGCTAATTACAGGGGAGGGAGAAGAGTTTGAGAGCACTCTCTGGTAATTTGGGGTAAGGATCTTAGGGGTCCCTTGTGAATTTTTTTTCTCAAAGGAGGGAGAAAAGAGAAAGAGAATTGCCTAGACCTAAGACAAAGTCTACAAACACACACACACACACACACACACACACACACACAAAGACAAAGCCTACTGGTGAAAGCCTACTTCTTTCAAAAGGAGAGTCTCCAACTCTGAGGTTTTCTATAGCTGAGGGTAGGGAAGAGAATGCCAATTCAGTGCTTGCAATTCATTCTTTAACACTCCTTGATCCTGAAGTTTTGTGCTCTGTTTAGGATTAATGTCTTGATAACTAACCCCGTCACTTTGACATGACCTGTTTATCCATTATTAAAATTCCCTTCATGGCTGGAGAATATGCTTATGAAAACAACCGGAGTGTATAATAAGAGACAGAAAAAAGGCAGGAAAAGAGTCCTTCATGTGAGGGATGAGAATGGAGGAGAGTTATAAAACTCCATTTAGTTATGCTTATAATCTTGTGACTTTTCTTCATCAGCTATATTTATGAAAATTTTCAATGATTTAAATACCTTAACAATTTCTATTGTATTTAGCTGGTGGGTTCGAACCACTGACCTTTCGGTTAGCAGCCAAGCACCAACAGCTGGAAGACAGCTGCCTGGTCAACCGACTGGAAGAGATCTGCACTGGTGTCCATTCCAAAGAAAGGTGACCCAGCTGACTGCGGAAATTATCGAACAATATCATTAATATCACACACAAGTAAAATTTTGCTGAAGATCATTCAAAAGCAGCTGCAGCAGTATATGGACAGGGAACTGCCAGAAATTCAAGCCGGATTCAGAAGAGGATGTAGAACAAGGAACATCACTGTTGATGTCAGATGGATCGTGGCTGAAGGCAGAGAAAACCAGAAAGATGTTTACCTGTGTTTTTGGATCATAACAAATTATGGATAACACTGCGAAGAATGGGAATTCCAGAACACTTAATTGTGCTCACGAAGAACCTGTACATAGATCAAGAGGCAGTCGTTTGAACAGAACAAGGGGATACTGTGTGGTTTGCGTCAGGGTTGTATCCTTTCACCACACCTATTCAATCTGTGTGCTGAGCAAATAATCTAAGAAGCTGGACTATACGAAGAATGGGGCATCAGGATTGGAGGAAGACTCATTAACAACCTGCATTATGCAGATGACACAACCTTCCCTGCTGAAAGTGAAGAGAACTTGAAGCATTTACTGATGAATATACTAGACCACAGCCTTCAGTATAGATTACACCTCAAAATAAAGAAAACAAAAATCCTCACAACTGGACCATTAAGCAACATCATGATAAATGGAGAAAACATTGAAGTTGTCAAGGATTTCGTTTTACTTGGATCCACAATCAACACCCATGCAAGCAGCAGCAGTCAAGAAATCAAATGATGCATTGCGGCAAATCCACTGCAAAAGATCTCTTTAAAGTGTTTAAAAGCAAAGATGTCACCCTGAAGACTAAGCTGCGCCTTACCCAAGCCATGGTGTTTTCAACTGCCTCATATGCATGTCAAAGCTGGACAATGAATAAGGAAAACCGAAGAACTGATGCCTTTGAATTGTGCTGTTGGAGAAGAATATTGAATATACCATGAATGGCTAAAAGAACGAACAAATCGTCTTGGAAGAAGCACAACCAGAATGCTCCTTAGAAGTAAGGATGGTGAGACTACATCTTACATACTTTGGTCATGTTATCAGGAGGGATCAGTCCCTGGAGAAGGACATCATGCTTGGTAAAGCAGAGGGTCAGCAAAAACGAGGAAGACACTCAACAAGATGGACTGACACAGTGGCTGCAACAATGGGCTTAATTAAGCGTAACAACAATTGTGAGGATGGCGCAGGACCAGGTAGGGCAGTGTTTTGTTCTGTTGTACACAGGGCAGCTATGAGTCACAACTGACTCGATGGTATCTAACAACAACAACTAGCTAGTTTTTCTTCTCCCATAAGTGCAAAGTTTCTTGCATACCCAAAAGACTGAGATGTTGGTGAGCACACTGAAACATTACTTTCTGCTGGTTATTAATTATAAATGAAATCACTAGGCTTTCATGAAAATTAAATAAAGTGATGATTACAGGTTATAATTTTTTCATATTATCTGGCCATTTTTCTTTAAAAAAGGTAAATTTTTTACAATCTAAGCGAGGTAAGCAAGGAAAATAAGATAAACAGAAAATTGGTATAACCCCTTAAATAAAAGCAGCAATGTATGTATTTAGTGTATGTCTGTGCATGTGTGTGTGTGTAACATATGTTGTTGAGATGTTAATTTAAAAAAATTAAAAAGTTGGGTACAAAAGAACACAAAATACTGAAAGAGAGAAATACAGAATTCTGAAAGAAAAATCTATCCAAAAAACTCTATTTAATGTTGTGCTACTTAAATTCAATTTAGCATATCACAAACGCTGTTTGCACAGTTAATATGAATATTTAAATATTGCAATCTGGAATGCTAAACTAACACAGAAAAACACCAGAGAGGGGAAGAAGGTTATAAAAGTACATAAATTTCTATCACAGATACATTCTATTTGTCACTTCAATTACAAATTTAACAAGTTATGCATTTCTAAATTTTCTAGATAAAATCTAAACAAACTCCTGCTTTCAAAAACTATTACCTTCCAAAGACATACCTCTTGTATGTGATTATTCTTCTCTAAAATGGAAAGAGCAACAGCCGCACACTCCAGTGTAGAAAGGCAACTATTAGTTGGTTGCATTCGAATTACATACTGACTAGAAATGCTAGTTTTTAACTGCACCTGAAACAAAAACAAAATAAAAGAATTTAATTTTTGTTTTAAATTTAAAACTTTAAAATCTGTTTTAAATACTAATTACTTTAGCGTCCTTCCAAAATTGCCATCAGTTTAGAAATATTAAATATATCAATACCTTCTATATATCCTTTTGTTGTTGTTATTAAATAGCACAAGCAAGAGGATAGTTACACATATATCTGACAAACAACATACAGCTAGAATACAGCCAGAACTCCTACAAATCAAACAAATAAAAAGACTAATAACTCCCTCACGGAAGGCGAAAGAGTTGAATAGACAGTTCACAAAAGAAGATACAAGAATGGCAAATAGGCATGTGAAAAAGCACTCAACAGAAGTCAGCACAACTGGACTAAACCAAAAGCTAAGAAGTTTCCTGAAAATAACCAAACACTTTGAGGGACAGAGTAGGAGGGGTAGGGGTCTGGGGACCATGCTTTCAGGGGACATCTAGGTCAACTGGCGTAACAAAGTTTGTTAAAGTTTCTGCATCCCACTTTGGTGAGTGGCATCTGGGGTCTTAAAAGCTAGCGAGTGGCCATCTAAGATGCATTAATTGGTCCCAACCCACCTGGAGGAAAGGAGAATGAAGAACACCAGAGATACAAGGAAAATATTAGCCCAAGGGACAGAAAGGGCCACATAAACCAGAGACTCTATCAGCCTGAGACCAGAAGAACTAGATGGTGCCCAGCTACCATCAATGACTGCCCTGACAGGGAACACAACAGAGAGTCCCCAATGGAGCAGGAGAAAAGTGGGATACAGAACTCAAATTCTGGTAAAAAGATCAGACTTAATGGTTTGACTGAGGCTGGAGGGACCCTGGAAGACATGGCCCCTGGACTCTCCGTTAGCCCAAAACTTAAACCATTCCTGAGGCCAACTCTTCAGACAAAGATTAACTGGACTGTAAGACATAAAATGATACTTGTGAAGAATGTGCTGCTTAGCTCAAGTAGACACGTAAGTCTAAATGGGCAGCTCCTGTCTGGAGGCAAGATGAGAAGGCAGAAAAGGACAGGAGCTGGTTGAACGAACACAGGAAATCTGGGGTGGAAAGGAGGAGTGTGCTGTCACATTATAGAGAGAGCAACTAGGGACGCGTAACAACGTGTGGATAAATTTTTGTACGAGAAACTAACTTGAATTGTAAACTTTCACTTAAAGCACAATAAAAAGAAAAAAAAGGCACTCAACAAAATTCAATGCAAATTAAAACCACAATGAGATACCATTGTACAATTACTAACATAGCTAAAATCAAAAAGACTGACACCACCAAACGGCAGGAATATGGGATTAATGAAACTCTTACACACTGTGGTAGGAGTGAAAATGTTATAATCACTTCAGACAATTATTTGACAATTGTTTTTTTCTATTATTTTATGATTTATCCTTCCATTATTTAATATAAATGGACAGGTTTATGTCTGTGTGTGAGTAAGCATGTATAAATACCAAAAGACATACACAACGCACACATACATGTTTGTGTGTGTGTATGTGTGTGCATCTTCCCTTTTTAGATATAAAGTAGGATACTACATATGCTTTTTTCCATGGAGATAATATTTTAGACCTGATTATTGAGACAGAGTCAGATGTGAGAAAACTAGTGAAAAACTAAATGTCAACATTTTAACCTTCTGATTCCTATTTTAATTAAATGAAACTCAAGCAGTCTTACACTCATAAAGCCATATCAATAGCCCACACTCTGATCAGAATCATTTAAGGACGTGTGGGCAGATGAAAATTTCAATTTTTACTTGTCAAGTAAAATATGTAAGCATGGGGTTTGGTGGTAGTGGTGTCTAAGCCTAATAACACAGCAACTCCAATTCAGGTGTCCTCTTTTATTTTCTTGCATCCTCAAAGTTTTAGGAGTCTGTTATTTGTTTTTAATACCAACAAAATTCTCCCATTCATGGCATCTTGTCCCTCAATCCCTTCCCTCCTCTGTGTCTCATGCAGTCCCTCATGATGAGAAATATGGTTCCTCTACTGTATTTTTTGCAAATAATGCACCTGGGTAAATAACACGCCCACACATATAATGCACAGAAATGATGAAATCAAATAAAACAGTTCTGGCATAGCACACCCATGCATATTCCACATGTCTCATAACATTTCCAGAAGTGAATTTCGGCCTCATTCACTTGTCTTCCCATGTTACTGGTAAATCATATTGCGCTGTTCATTTTCTTTTATTCTGTTCATTTTCTTTAATCCCCTGCTTATGTATATAAAAGTAGTCCAAAAGGTTACTTTTGTAGTTCCTCATGCATTCATACTCTTTGGTTTCAACATGGCATCCCACTGCTCCATTCACAAGAATGATGACGTATTCTATCAGGAAATTACAAAAGTTAAATTCTGTATATCACTTTTGATCTACCAGTAAATACTTTTGGCTTAAATTTCAAGTAGTATAAAATCAATGCCTACTTAAGTGAAGTTTCCATGTGACCAGAAATAGAAATTGAATTAAGCAACATCTTAAAAAAAAAAATTGTCATAGCACACTTACAAAAATAACACATGGAGGGTTGTGTAGCTGGTGAAAAAACTTAAAATGTGCACATTATTTGCAAAAAAATGTGGTACTCTTTTTTTTGTTCAAAGAATTCTCCTGTACAACTTGTATTCTTTCCTTCCCTCAGAAAGTGTCGGGGAGGGGAGGAAATAAAGAGCAGAGATTCAACTAATAATGTGTTTGCTATGATCATATTCAATTTTCTCTGCATTTCTTCCAAGAGAAAAGATGGAAAAGAGATGCAAAGAGGCAAAGAGATGGAGGAAAATGACTGAGAAGTACAAGTAGTGATACAAGAAGGTTAGCCTAGGTTAAATAACTGTAAGAATAATTCATAATGTTGATTATAATTATGAACAGCTTTGATAATTCATCAAGTCAACTAGCGGAACAGAGTACAGCTAACTACTGTTTTCAATACTCAATTCAAAGTCTTTGCTGGAGAAGTTTATAAAAGACCTCTGATTATAACAAACTATTTGGGAAACATGCAAAATTTATAGTGAGTTTTACCTCCTGGAATGAATGTGATTGTTTAAAAGAAGTTTGTTTTTCAGGGAGGAATTTTCTTACTGTGGCCTACATGACTGTAAGAAAACTCAAAATTTGAACTTTATCATATATTAGAAGACTTCATAATATATTTTACAAGTTAATCCTCCAGGAATTATCCAGTAACTAGGATATAGTAAGAGTATACAGTTAAGATTTGTCATATTAACGTATATGTTATTAGAACGTGTGAATGTGATCTCATGGCTCCTCCTTTTATGCTTATGTATTCCACCTCCCTTCACACACTTGATTCAATGAGCAAATGAAAAAGAGCTGAAAGAAACCCTGCTGATCCATCTTCTAGAGAAGTCACAGGAAAAATGCAAAACAGCATTTCAAATTCTCAGTGGAATCCAGACTTTATGGAACCGTTGAGGCTGGATGAACCCCTGAAACTATTAACCTGAGATAATCTTTAAACCTTAAACCTCAAACTAAAACTATACTCGAAGTCTTTAAACAAAACAATAGTTTAATTACTAAAGTATGTCTACCTTGAGTATTGTACTCTTCTAAAGAATTATCTATTTGGGATCAAACTGACAACAGTAACTCAAAAGGTTAGATGAGAAGCTTTGTGGACAGTGAGTTTATGCTAATGGTGGTGGAATAATGTGGAAAACAATAGTGAGAATGGTTGTACAACTTGAAGAATGTAATCAATGTCACTAAATTGTACATTCAGAAATTGTTGAAATGGTGTATTTTTTGCTGTGTATATTTTCACCAATAAAACAAAATTAAAAGAAAGTGCCTTGTCTTCTCGAATAAATTTTTAAAAAATTTCAAGGCAAAATTAACTATTCTAAGAAAGGAAAGCATTTTACATAAGATGAAAATGTAGCATATAGAAACAGGATCTACCGAAAGATCTTAATTCTATATAAAACTTAACATTGATCAATTAATTTCAGCCAGGTCATTTAGTTTCTTAGTTCCCCTCAGTTTCCCTCTCCCCTTCCCCCTATAAAATCATACATTTGGGCCTGATTGTGTAAAACCTATCTTTCAGTTATCAAATCCTAATATTTGTTATATCAAAGAATTATTTTAATTTCCACATTACTGAAGTTATATGGACTCAAAGAATGCTTCAATAATTTTGATCTTTTTGGAAGTTGTTTCCCTACAGGTATAGGTTGTTTGAGTGCTCTTATTATAACTTCTACCTTAGGAAGAGGAAAATCATTGGTTGGTTCAGAGTTCTCCTGATAGAGGTTGTGGGTTTGTAATATAACTTCCATTTTAGAAACAGCCAACTCTTTCAGATCTTATTTCTAGACTTAGCTTCAGATCTTTTCCATTGGTTCTCTGAAATAACTAAAATCGAATTCCCGGAAATTCTTTAGTTGTTATAATGCTTTCCTTCCTTCTCTTGCATTAAATCTTAAATACACCTTCAATATCTAAGAATATCAGATAACAGTTTGATGGCTAAGATCACTGTTCAGGTGCCTTAAAAGGGCTCTTACAAATTTCTTCTTCCTCTTATACTTTTAGCTATTTTTATCACCATTAAGTGATTTGTGTCACTAGAAGTTGGTGTGACATAGCATGTTTAGTGGTTTAGTAACGGCCTTTAGGGCTAAACAACAACAACAACAAAATAGCCAAAGAAATACCATGTCATGGTTTATGTCTGCATAATGTAACATATTTAAAAATCATTTATTAAAAAACATAAATTAGTTAATTCATTTGTGAAACAAAGATAACTCAAAAGAACAAAAATTAAAACATTTTAATTCATTCCCACATGAAGATGATATTTTTATAATTTGATGATGACTACTTGCTATTTGTACTCAGTTTACTTTAAGCCAATTATCATTACTATTTAAAACTATTTTGCTTCTCACTAAATTATTAACAGCCACAA